CCCATCCTTCATAACACGCTGTTGTAACGGAAATACCCCGCTCTAAACAGGGTCGAACCTTTAGTTCCGCAATTTCAGATTGCACCTCGCGAAGTAATTTTTGATACAAAAATACGTGAGAGCAATTTTAACCAGCGATCCCTCCAGATTGAGCATTTCATCAGACAAAAATACAAGCTGACATCAACCTGATTGAATTAATTTCCTGAACGTACACCGCGTTCTGTTTTATGTTCTTTTTATACGCGTCTACTCGTCTCCGGGCTCTGTTATATGTTGCAATTTCCATCCCCATAATCCGGACGCTCTATCCCCTAAGCCAATCTACGTACGTACTATCGCGGTTGTGCTAAGGGCGAATCTCTATTAAGAATCCCTCTAACGATCCTGGGCGTCCAAAACCGACTAATCAAGCATGGATGGATGGGTTACAACGCCGACCGTTTTGGGATAAATCCCCATCGCACTGTTTCTTGTGGTACATTTACTTTAACCCCGACGCAATCCGGTTTGTCAGTTTTAAACTTAAATTGCGGATGGTGAGTTGCCGGTTTTATTTTTAAATTGGGTTCGGTTCGAATCTGACCCTTATGGTATCAACCCTTATCGATCATTTCGAGTTTCGCGTAGAATCCACTTCGTTCGTTGAACATTCCGTGCTAACGTCATGGATACCTACAAAAATATTTATACAGTGTGTCCTACTTATGAAGTGTACACCCTTGTAAAATTTTTGTTTACCGTTCGATTTTGATAATTTTATTTTGTTGAATAGGTCTCCGAAAAATGCACTAAAACCTTGTTTTGCTAATTGCTTCCACTTTTAACAAATAAATTATCAACGAATTCTTATTCAGGAGTGCTTAGAATCCAACTATACCAATTACTATCATGTTTCAATAGAGGGTATTTGAAATATAGTGTGCGCCCCACTTGGCGCTGTACATCGTTGTAAAATTTTTGATTACGGTTTGATATTGATTTTTTTTTGTTGGATCGATATGTCGAAAACACACTAAAACCTTAATAAAAAACGTCATGGACTAATTTTTGATGTCAAATATCGAGAATGGCTATTAGGGATTTCTTTAAGAATAAAGTGTCAACGAATTCTTATTCAGGACTACAATTAACCTAACTATACTATTTTCAATGAAGTTCGCTTAGAATGTTTGTTTAAGGCTCACTGAAAGACACTAATTAAAGAGGATTCGATATGAACTAAACAATGCTGTATTTTATTTAATTAATAAGGATTTTCAATTCTCATCTAATAATGAAAATAACAGAAACCAACCAAAACTAACCAATTAGCCATGACTTTAGTCGATGCTATACAAAAAAAAAACCGTTTCATTTCTCTTTAGTAAGATCTATTCAGCGAAAAAGAATTATCAAAATTGAGTCATAAACAAATATTCCACAGGAGTAATGCTTAAGCGAGACTCCCGCGATATTTCGAGCACCCTGTATTCGAACTTCATGGAAATTAGTATAGTTAGATTTTACGTAGTCCTGAATAATAATTCGTTGAAAATTAGTCCCAGATAACCATGACTTCAGGTTAATTTAAGAAGAAATATAAGGTTTTAGTGCGTTTTTGAGAGATCTATCCAACAAAAAATAATCAAAATCAAACCGTAATCAACCGACATTTTAAACACCCTATATTGAAACATTATAAAAATTGGTATAGTTCCGTTCTAAATACTCCTGAATAAGAATTCGTTGCCAATTTATTTATTTCCTATTTATTAATTCCTAATAGCACTTCTCCAGTCTCTCTCTTTTGTTAAATCGTTTCAGTTAGCCATGAATTTAAGTTGAAACAATAAGCAAAAGAAGGCTTTAGTGTATTTTTTAAAGATCTATTCAACAAAAGAAAAATTATCAAAATCGAACCATAAACAAAGATGTTACAAGGGTGTTTAATTCTATTCACTGCATATACGGTGTTACGTAATCTGTAATGGCAAACTTGTAACTAGCATAGACCTGGCTGTAAACTTAACTAAATTGAACGGGTGATTCTCATAAAAAACACTTCATAATATTCTGCAAGTTATAGATTCTCATATTGTCCCATAGTTAACAAAAAAACTAAAGTTACGTATTTAATCTCTGCGAAGCTAACGAAACTTTTTTTTCTACTTTCATGTGTAAAATATCTAATACACACCAATCTAGCGTGCGGAAAGCGTCACTTTACCACGCGAGTTTCATTTCCCACGAATCCGAACTACTTCGGATATTTTCGGGATTTTACCGCACGGGTTTGGGAGCAATCGGATGTTTTCGGGGATATTTCCCACGCTTTGAATTTTGACGTTTGCCAATTCTAGCGGTCATGTCGGTGAATGTATTCTTGTTATTTTGCGTACCCAAAAACTACCGGTCGTAGAAAAAGTATAGTATGTAATACGTACGCTAAACATTTTAAGTCACTCTTTTATTAAACACTCGCTTCGCTCGTATCAAATGAATTCGTGCGTCAAAATTCTTACGGTTAAACTATAACAGGCAAATATTGTCAACAAATTAAGCACTTCATATTTAAAATGATCTAGTGCTAAGAATCAAAATATTCTTTATTAGTACTTTAGTGAAATAGTCGGTCAATTGAAAATTCCATTTCGAACGAACTTTTACTTTTCTTCCATGTTCTGGATCACGTATTGACCGTTTTTTAGCACTCTACTACGAGGAATTGTCGTCATAGATTGAAGTAGATGCTGTCCATTACTGTAAACAATTTGTGAAATCTCCTTTAAATATTTTAGTTACCCTTGTGAATCAATTAAAAAAAAATTATGTTATAAAACAAAAAGAAATATTATCTAAATATCTGAATTGAATTGATTAATTGATTTTAGTTTAATTAACTAGTTAATTATTATACTTTTTTTTACGTCAACTTATGTGTTTGACGGGAAACAATATTAAAATACGGGAATGCATGATGCACAATTTCCTCCTTTTATGAAAATAATACCCAAAAGCAAACCGAGAGAGAACCAAACAACAACTGTTAAGAGCTCCCACCCCAGAAATGACGTATTTTACATATTTTTTATGTATTATTTTATTTAAATTATTACACAATTATTCAAAATCAGAAATATCCTGTTTTTGAAAAAAAATAATCAAGCACTCCGTTAATAAAACGATTCGTTGACAGTAAATATATATATAAATTTTTATTTACGCAGAAATATCTATTTCTCCCATATTTTGGGGACACTGAGATGTTCAGATGGGACAATTTATTATATACACAACCCTATACAAAGCCTATATTTTAGAATATCTCGAAATATTTCTTTTTAAATTGAGCATCTTGATATGCATCATAATTTAATTCTAATTATTGCTGCCAACTTTTCTTAAAGTAAATTGAAGTATTCAAATTGGTAACTCATTTTTTACTTTATGCTGTTATCGTAACGACCGTTTTAATTTTGGGACAAAAAGAAATATTTCACTATCACCAACAAAGTTATCTGGTGAGAAATATTTTAATAGACACGAAGCGATGCCAGTTTTCAATTTGCCAAGACAATATTGTGAAAACTAACAATAGGGAGCCGGTACCGTTAAAACGTCGATTATTATATTCCAAACCCAAATTTATAATATGGACTTTAATTACTTTGTCATTAAATAGTCGATTCACGAGTGCACAATGCAATTTGCACTTTAAATTCTAACTGCTTTAATCGTGTTAGAAACGCCTAACTTGCCATAAATGGCGTCTGCAAGTACTAATATACGACCTGGCCAAAATATTTATGCGGCCATTCGCTGCACACGAACCACACTCTCATAGTTTTACGCCCGATTTTCATTTGTTATTCAAATTGACCAATAAGCTTTGCGCGAACACGCAACTCCATAATGTTACGGAAAGGTAAGTTTCCAAGCAAAACTTCGTCTGGAAATGCTGGCTGTGAGCAATCACATTCTTGGTTTTGGTTAATGTTTTTTCGTCCGAGGAGACAACCCTTACCTAATCTCTCCAACCCTATAAAATTTTCCAAAAAACGGTATTTATTTAAAAAAAAACATTTGTACAGGGTTAATAATATTGTTACGAAAATATATGACTTTCAAAAACTTGATTTTGTTATATGCTGGATTTTTATTCGGTATGCCACAAAAGTATCAAGTGTCTTCACTTTATTTTCGGATTGTGTAATAGGAAATTTGATATAGGCAGTACGTTTTTGAAACTTTTGATATGAAATTCATTTATTAGATAGAATTTAGGCTGCATTGATTTTCTATTTCTTTCTCTTACAGTTTATTAAGACCTGAGATTAATTAAATTACCAGTAACCGCTACTTTTAATAAACAGGTTATAAGGGCTAATCCAAACTAATTAAAGGTGATATAAAACCTAAGCAAAATATGTATTTATAAACACATATTTTATATAGTATATATTGCAAGGTATTTTTCATATTGTTTGGTCCTGTTGAAGACATTATAGACAATTTATTTTTGATAAAAAAGTATTCCGGAAAAATTTATTAACTGAATATTTTTTATCATAGTTTTCGATAGATTAATCACTGCGTGAAATTCATTGGGAAAAGAAAGAAAGCAGTGTGGTGAATTTTAGTCTGATAATGTTTGGGGTCAATTTTGAAATCCATTTCTTCCAATACAATTGTTGATCTGAATTTTAAAGGGAGACTTCGTGTAATTCTACTTTTTATACAAGTTTCATATTATAACGATTAACTAAAATTTTGAGTAGTTTTGGTTAGTCTGAATGTGAGAGAAAGTGATATTTTATTATTTCTGAATATTTGCCGATAATGATTATCTTGCATTTAGACACCAGACATTTTTGGTGCAAAGAAATGACATATTGCTTTATGAATATATTTACCATTCAGAATTGAGTATAGTGATTTTGTAAAAATTTGGTTACCATTTAATAAATACCTTCTCCGTTTAGACTGAAGTAAACATTGGTTTTCGTTTTATTTTGCAGAGGTCCCGGAGGAAGATCCTCACCTTAAAATGGAAAAAGAAAACTTAGAATACGGTTACCTAATTAGAGCAACCTGCACAACACCTGTTTCATTTCCGGCCATGAATGTGACTTGGTTTCTCAACGGAGTTAAGGTAAAAATATTTCATTATGTTTGCTAGTATTCACCATCGCTGATTAGCGCAAATATTTGAGAAGAAACTTTCCACGCAATGAGTGGGTGTAGATAATAAAAAGATTTCATGAGTGATTTTTTCATTGCAATGAAGTGGACATACCCAGACACCGGTTTTTACTTAATGCCTCTAACTCTGACATATCTGCGTACTGCGTAACCGATAGGGCACGTCTTTCTTTAAACTTATTTGAATAGATTTCTGCAGCGGTTTTGTGAATTCTTTTGATGAGACCTCGTGTCGGGGTCTCATATGGATATCTCAAGATCTCGAGTACAGCATTTAGCAGCAGACTTTACGTTACCTAGAATTTCGTATGTTTTTGTGCCTTTGTTAAATTGAGAATTTGATATTTTAAATGCTGTTCATGTGTACGAGAATATTCTCATATGCCCAGCAAACTGTAAAAATCGTTTGTTTATATCTTTTAAACGTAAGTAAATGTGTGAAATTGGAAACAACTGCATCATTGAAAAAGATTACAAAAGTTTAATTTAAAAAAAAATTTCAGTCAACACTGTATTTTAATTTTAACATTAATAGTTTTAGCGAATTCGAATTTGTGATTTTTAATGTAACTGCGTAATAAATTCCCTTCTAATTTTTTTCTACAAAAGTTACATAGACAAAACTGTAGCAGTACAACTTTGTTGAGAATTACTTGAGCAATATATTTCAATAATAGCATCGGAATTTGAATGCCATGAATTTTACAGAACAGAATATCAATCCAATCAAACAAAAACGTCTTATATTTCAAGACAACCTCTACAAAATTCGTTTAAAGGATTTAAATATATATAATATAAATTATTAAATAAAAAAATTAACGTCAGCAGGTTATTATTAAAGCGCAATTAAGGGTGAAGTTTGTCGTGCTTTTGTAGATAGTGGTTATATTCTCTTAATAACTCTTTAGTAAATATTATTTAAATATAGTTTCAGAGGTATGTCTAATTATCAATTTTAAGCCCTTAATATTAAGATGATACCACAATGCACGTTTTTAAGACAAGTCTTTTACATTATGTTGTCCTTTGCAGGTTTAATAATTAATAAAATTAAGGAATTTTTATTTTTTTTGCCAAGAAACTTCCACGGACTATTGTAATACTATTTACAAATCTTCCGGATTCCTCCTGCATTGATTGTTGAAGATTCAAACTTGCTGCGTTACGCCAATCATCCTATTGACTTCTTTAGAACTTAACTGAAACTGGCTAGCATTCTACTCTGTATCTGCTTATATATTGCTTAAAGAGGGCGGAGCTAGAAGAGGAGCGTGAACATTATCTCAGATAACTGATTCCCATATTGTGGAAAGGTAAAGATTACATTAATTATTAATTAATTGAGATGCCAGGAGTCTTAAGAGTACGACAAATAAACTCATCTGCAGTTGCCGAATCGCGAAACCGTGCATAAAATTTTCTTGGATAAAACTCAAATTATTGAGTAATCAATCTACATCAATCTATAAACAACCAAACAGTCTTAACGGCGACTTTACTTTACGTTTCACCAATATTGAAAGCAGTCCTCCGAGACAATGTTCCTTTAGCTCTGCAGCCCTCAAACAAAACGTTAGTAAGTTTTGTAAATAAGAAACTTCCTGAAACAAAGGTTAGACTTTCAAGGAAGTGACCCATCATTCGACTAGCCAAAATCAAGACACATCACCTACAGTTTCTAAAGGTGCACAACAAGCAAGCGGCATTTAACAAATCAAAGTTTAATTTGTTTCTAGACTTCAAGCAAACATGAGAATTAAACAGCCTGTATTCCAGAATACCATCAAAAAATAATCCCCGTTCAAAAGAGGCTCGTGAATAATGCAATCAAAAGCGTAATGCAAAGTTTCTAATTAAAACCCGCAACAATGGAAAAAATCCACTCCGCACGTTGTCCATTATTCCTTCTGTTCTGTATTCAGTATGAAACGGGAGTTTTCTCACGATTTTTTCCATTACTTTGGCCATTTATCTTCTCCGTCGGCTTCAATGTGCAACAATAAAATACTTTAGTTTTTCCGTACGCGGGTAGTTTGCGTTTTTGTCACATTCGATTCGACGACGGTCGCGCCGAGGGTAGATATTAATAAAACCCCGTTTCTCGTGCAAATGAAAACCCCTAAGGGTCGACACTGGGACGGCTGTTTTTATAATTTATACGCCATGCAAACAATTTATTAAATTACTTTACCTTTTTCTCGTTCTATTAGAAAAAATCTGATACCTCTGCCCTTCCTCGTGTTTTGTATTTTACGTTTGACCGTAGTTTCGTTGTTCTATGGTATTTACATGGTATTCGTTCCGTTTGTTAAAAAAAAACTACATGCCAAAAATAAAAATGAAAAACTAAAACAGAAATATTTTTAAATGTTTTTCGGCAAATGTGATATTCTGGGAAAATAAATTTTATCGTTTCAATTAGCCTTTGTGACTCTATTTGATGCTAAATCTAGTCAAAGCGGCGCGGTATGTAAAAATTATGGAAATGCGTCGCCAGGACAACTGATATTATATTTTTGATATACCAAATAATTAGGTGTTTTGGATGGCTAGCCTTATAAACACCTGCGGTGAGAAATATTCAGTATTTTCTTTGCGTTGGAAGAAAAATTGGATTTTGGAAAGTGGATAGTAGAATCAAAATACCAGAAACTTCTATTGAATAAAACTTTTTGAATTTCAATTGTCTATACACAATAGAATATTATACTACGAGTTTGACAAATACCATTTTTGTCACGAATTTGATGTGGTACAAACGCAGCACAGCACAGCGAGCATCATAAACGAATTAAAAATTTACCACCTTCTAGATTACATTACTTTTAGGGTACATTTTTGCAAAATATCATAAATACATCCATTGAAGATGTGTAACGTGACCTTTAGAATTGACAAACGCCAAAATACAAACAGTAGCTACATTCGATCGCTCCCAAACTCGTGACTAAAGTTCCGGAAACGTCGAAAGTAGCTTACGACCGTGGCTAACGAAGCTGACGTCTTAAAGAGACATTGGGTATTTTTTAGTTTTATAGTTATAGTTATGAGATTCCGCAATCACTAATATTACTATACAAAAATGTCGAAAAATAGCCTCTTATACGACTAAGCAAATGAAAATATAATTAGGTTCTCTTGAGTTTTCTTCGTTCTTATGGATATTACGAGGTGTGTATTAATGCCGGACATCTATATGCTATACAAAAATGTCGAAAAATATAACCTCATATACCATTAAGCAAATGAAAATATAATTAGTTTCTCTTTAGTTTTTTCGCTCTTATGGATTTTACGAGGAGTGTTCAAAAAGTACGGCGACTTTTAAGTTTTGTCAAAAAGTATTTATTTATTCATCAAAATTAATGTTGCTCCCTTCAAAGTAACTCCCCCCCTCCACCGTCCAGAAATAATACTCTTGTGCAACCGTTTTTTCCAATCTTCGAAGCCCCTCTGGTATAACCTTGAGTTTTTCCACCAAATTTGTTCTTTATCTCCTCAATCCTACGAACTTCATTCCCTTCATGGGTTTCTTGAGTTTTGGGAATAAGAAAAAGTCGTAGGGGCGATATCCGGTGAATATGGGAGCTGAGGCATGTTTGTGGTTTTGTTTTTGGTCAGAAAGTTTGACACAAACAACGATGAGTGAGCAGGTGCATTACGACCTTGCTGTAAGAACTCTTGAAGTACTACGCCTCGATAATCAAAGAAAACAGTAAGGAAAACCTTGGAGATTCTGCGGTATTCCACTGGGACGACTGGGCTTTCGTTTCGACGCCATAACCCATGATTCATCACCAGTTATGACCTTTGTGAGCATATCAGGTTCATTATTGAAGTACTTTAAGAGTGCTTGAGCGATGTTCCCTCGACGGTCCTTTTGTTCAAAATAAGGCAGTTTCGGATCAATTTTTTCTGCTACACGTTGTTTCACTTCTTCCAACACTTTCATCAGCTACTGACGTGCTGGGGCCTCCAGAGCGAGGTTCATCATCGGCGTCTTCTCGGCCATCTTGGAACAGCTTGTACTACTTATAAACATTTTTTTTTTTGCTCAAAGTAGATTCACTATATGCCGTTGTAAACATTTCAAGTGTTTTATGCATACAAAACACGTCTAACACTTCTGCCTCACAAAAAAAAGTAAACGTGCAAACGGGCTGAAACTGTGAACATATGTTAAGGACGTGTGTACCAACCTAACATAAAAAAATATCGAGGATCAAATGTACGTAGCCCGCCCAATTACAGAAGTCACCTTACTTTTGGAACACACCACGTATATCGGAAACACAAGGAGACAGCAAAATAGGAGTATCAAGAAAAGTTTTAGGTTCAGTCAAATAGTCCCCTTCCGAATTTTGGTCAAGTATCAAAAAACTTTTCATTGTCAAATATTTCCTAGAAATTCTCTTATATTGGAACCCTCCTTATAATCGCGTGGACAGCGTGCGAGTTTCCTCCCGCGGGAGAACTGATGAACGACATTATTTCCTCTGCGGCGTCGTAGACAGTCCCACTAACTCCACTAAAATTGATGCTTAATGGGTCTTAACTCGAAGGAATAGTTTTTTTGTAAATAAAACCCCATATAATGCAATAACACATATACGTGGATAGCGCAAACGGCCTGCAAAGCAAAAAAGAAAAAGAATAATATTTTTTAACTAATTTTTAAACAGTTTCCCTCACAATTTTTTCTCTCAAAAAAGTTGTCATATTACCAAGAAAATAATGGTATAATAATGACGCTTCTGCTTGCATAGCTCTTCCATTCTCTCCTTTTCTAAAGGATACTTCACTTCTGTCTAGGTTTTTAATTGTGTAACTGCACCGGTTAAATAATATAAATTTCTATAAAAAGTATGTTTACTGATTTTTGAACATCTGTAAACTAAAATCGAATAAAGGAATAAACAAATGTAAAATTTAGTGTTAACTATCTTT